AAATTTGTTTCATTATAAAAATGTTAATTTAATAAGACATAAACAAACAAACAAGAAGTTATAGGGAAAAGATTTGATGAATTTAAAATTTTAGTTAGGATAAAAGTTATAAAACTTAAATGGGGAAACATAAATGCAACAAGGATACATTTAAAAGAAGAATAAAAAACACACTACCTACCAAAAACTGAAAAAGGGTCCCAATGTAATAAAGAGAAAAAGGATTTTCAAACAAAGTGTTGCTCAATGACACCCCTGCCGTTAATGAAAATTTACAAAATGACTAAGTTGCCCTTTCCTTGTATTAAAAGACCTCAATAACCTTATATTTTGAAATGAAATGACAAAAATATCATGAAATGCCATTGAAATAATGCAAAGTATCAATTTTCATACCAATTTTTACTATTAAATTTTACATTTTTTTTTTTTTTTTTCTTTTTAGGGTTTGATTAGTTTTTAAAAAATAAAAATAAAAATAAAAAATTAGGTAGGGTAATATAGCATTTATAAGAAGGGGGAAAAAAAAGAGTACTATAGTCTTTTGGTTTGACATAATTTTTTTTTATTTAACTATTATTAAATTAGATAAGGGCTATGTTACATGGACTCTTCGAAAGTAGTAAAATACCCGTGTCGGACACATATTACTCGGACATGGGTATGGGATATGTGTCCGACACTTTTGGTTAGACATGTACTTAAAAAGCATATCCAATCATTCAATTATATCATATTATTACTTTAAAATGAGTTAAATGTCTATATTGAAAATTATATTAGATAAAAACATTACTTTACTCTAGAAAATAAAATAAAACAATTAATAAAATGAATATTTAGTTGTGTCCGTGTGTCCATCTGTTTGGAGATTTGACACGTCCGACACATGGATGCATACCCGTGTCCGATACACGTACCCGAGTCCATAGTTGTTAAAGGCGCCTCCAGGCGCCATGTTGTCGCCTCCATACACTTAAGGCGACTCTCTTAATAAAGGCATGCGCCTTTCCGACCAAGGCGCCAGGCAAGCTACAGGTGCTGGAAAGGCGCGCCTGAGGTAAAAAGTTGTTTTTTACTTCTTTTTTTTTGTTTATTGTTTGTTTATTTAAAAAGTTCTTTTTGTTTATTATTATTATTATTTCTATTCTGATAATTTATTAGTTAATATAATACAAAAGCCTACATAAAAAACATAAAAAAGCAAAGGAAAGAAGAGTAGAAGGCAGAGGCAGCAAAGGCACCAAAAAGCGTCGGATCTCTCGGATCAGCGTCGGATCTGCATCGGATCTAGTAAGTTCTTCTCTCTCTTCTTCTTCTTCTCTTCTTCTTCTTCTTCTTCTTCTCTCCTCCTTCTCTTCTCGGATTTTTTTTTTCTTCTTTTCTTCTTCTTCTTTTTCTTTTCTTCTTCTTCTTTTCTTCTTCTCTAAAGTCTCAGCTCTCTTAAGAGTGGAGTCTGGCAGAATTTTTTTTTATTTTTCTTCTTCTTTTTATTTATTTTTTTATTTTTATTTTTTATTTTTTATTTTATTTATTTTATTTTATTTTCTCAAGTTTTATTCTTCTTTTTCTTCTTCTTTTTATTTTTTTTATTTATTTGAGTGGAGTCTGGCAGATTGTTTTTTTTATTTTTCTTCTTCTTTTTATTTTTTTTATTTCTTTGCGTGAGGTACTTTATATTTACCTGCTTGGATTAGATTAGTACAATGTATTGCTCTCACTATTTTTTTATTCATTTGTGTGATCCTGTTTTATTTATTTGTGTGATCAGTGATCCTGTTTTATTTGTGTAAATTGTGTGAACAGCTGTAGCATGTATTTGTTCCGTTCTAACATGTTATTGGTTTGAGAAAATGCATTTTTATCAAATTTTGTTAAAATGAAATAATTAGTGAAGTGTACTCTAAATTATAGAAGACAATCTCAAATTGTAAATAGCTCATTTACTGTTAAAATGAAATAATTTTGTTAAAATAAAATAGTTTTGTTAAAATGAAATTGTTAAAATGAAATAATTACTCTTGTAAGATGTACTGTTATATTATTTTCATATAATTAGGTTCTATTATTGAAAGAATGTTTATGTTAATATATTTGATTACTCACTGTTGAACTTAAGTACTTGATTTACTTGGTTTTGGCATCTTTATGTTGAATATTTAACTTAAGTAATTCATTTAGTTGACTTTTACATCCTTATAATAACTATTGCATCTTTAATACTTTATTGGGTGGGTTTTGTTTTTTTTTTTTCAACGTGCGCCTTGCCTCAGTCGGGCGCGCGCCTCGCCTTGCGCCTTACGCCTCAGGCTCCAGGAGGCATTTGCGCTTTTGTGCGCCTTGAGCCTTTAACAACTATGCCCGAGTCCATGTAACATAGGATAAGGATATGAAAATCATTTCACACTTTTAAGGGAGGTCAAAGTAATAAAGGTCAAACGCTCTATCTATGTATAATTTGCCTAAACCTCAAGAAAAACCAGTGTAATTTACCTTATATTTATTCATTTAAACATTCTAATCGGCTTTTAAAAGACAAACTAAGTGTCTTATTAGACGTACACACATATGTTTGTAATTACACATACATATACATATATATTTTTCACAGGGGACGTATCCCCACACCTTACGAGTGAGACTAATTCACCTCAGAACACACACAGAACCCCACAAGCCACATGCATTGGGCAAGTCTAGGACTCAGTCTGACTACAACTTAACTTGTGTAGGTACCACACGGAAATTGTTTACCTAGAGGCTTGAACCTGTGACCAGATCTTCATGAGGCACCATGGCCCAAGTTCTCATCCGCTAAGCCAACCCCGTCACTACACATTGTCAAAGTTAAAGAGAGAAATAAAAAATGAAGAACATGAGAATATACGTGGTTCAACCACTAAAGCTTATGTCCACAGCATACAAAACTCAAAGGGCTACAATGAACGCCTCTATTTATAGGAGAAAGAACAAAGTGATAAATATGGAAAATACATTAATGGAGAATTCATAAAATCAATCCCATAAATCACTCCAATCATATTTTATCGTGGACTAAAATCACTCCCACAATATTCTCAGAGCAATATTATGTGAAGTAATTTAAGGTTCCTATAATAATATTCTCCAACACCCTCCCCCAAGTTGGAACACGAAGTGAACTCAAGTGTCCAACTTAAAACTAAGTACGAAGTTGTTGAGAGTCCGAAACAAGTTACAAAGATCTGAGACGAGTATGGTTGTTAAAGGCTCAAGGCGCACAAAAGCGCAAATGCCTCCTGGAACTTGAGGCGCAATGCGTAAGGCGAGGCACGCGCCCGATCGAAGCAAGGAGCACATTGAAAAAAAAAAAAAAACAGAACCCACCCAATAAAGTATTAAAGATACAATAGTATATATAAAGATACAAAAGTCAACTAAATGAATTACTTAAGTTCAATTTGGTTAAGTGATTTAACAGCTAAACATTCTTTCAATAATAGAACCTAATTATATGAAAATAATATAACAGTTGCTATTTACAATTTGAGATTGTCTTCCATAATTTAGAGTACACTTAACTAATTATTTTATTTTAACAAAATTAGATAAAAATGCATTTCCTCAAATAGTCAAACCAATAACATGTTAGAATGGAACAAATACAAGCATACAATTGTTGAATATTGCGATTTCATGGATCCTCCTTCAATTTGACATCTATGATTATGCAACGATTAAAATTAAACAGATAAGAATCAACAAGTCATCATTTAACTTTAGGAAGAATCAACATAATAAAGTGGTCATAAAATAGGATCACACAAGTAAATAAAAAAATAGTGAGAGCAATACATTGTACTAATCTAATCCAAGCAGGTAAATATAAAGTACCTCACACAAATAAATAAAAAAAATTAAAAAATAAAAAGAAGAAGAAAAAGAAGACTAAATCTGCCAGACAGTCCAGACGCGGGAAAAAAAATAAAATAAAAATAAATAAATAAATAAAAAGATGAAGAAAAATAAAAATAAATCTATCAAACTCGACTCAGCTGAGAGAAGAAAAGAAGAATAGAGAAAAAAAAAAAAAAAAATTGAGACAGATCCGAGGAGAGGAGGAGGAGGGAAGAAGAAGAGAGAGAAGAAGAAGTTGGAGAACTTACCGGCAGAGTCGCAGACGCAGATTCGAGACCGAGAGTCCAACTGTCCAAGTCGTCGCTACCTCTGTCTTCTTTCCTTTGCTTATTGGTTCTCTTTTTTTTGTTTTTTATGCTGTAACTTGTAGATTTTCTATTACATTAACTAATAAAATAATATAATAGAAATAATAATAATATAACAATACACAAACCATAAACAAACAAAACCAAAATAACAAAACAATTCAAAAAACTACATTTTCAAGCAGGCGCGCCTTTAGCGCGCCTGTAGCCTGGCGCCTGTGTATAAAAGGTGCACGCCTTCTTTAACCCATACGCCTTAAGGCACTAAAGGCGATGAGATGGCGTCTAGAGGCGCCTTGTGCCTCCGGCGCCTTTAACAACTATGGAGACGAGTTGATCCGAAAATCCGAGACGAGTTATCCAAGGATCCAAGACAAGTAGAGTATAGAGTATGGTATGATAAACCTGCTCTAATACCATGTCAAAGTTGAGGAGAGAAATAGAAAATGAAGAACTTGAGAATATATGTGATTCAGCCACTGGGCTTACATCCACGGCACACAAAACTCAAAAGGCTACATATCTTTATTATACTTTCTCTTAAGATTGTTTACAATGAGCACCTCTATTTATAGGAGAAAGGACAAAGCGATAAATATGAAAAATATATTAATGGAGGATTCATAAAATCAATCCCATAAATCACTTCAATCATATTTTATCATAGACTAAAATCACTCCCACAATATTCTCAGAGCAATATTCTGTGGAGTAATTTTAGGTTCCTATAATAATATTCTTCAACACACATATATATCTGTAAATTAAACTGCATAAATGCTGTAAACAACACACCTTCCTTCACTGTGAGCTTGTTATCAATCTGATTGATCACAGAAAAGCTGAATTCTGCGCATCTACTCCACCCATATAACAACCAATTTTTCTCTGGAACATCTAAATAAATCGACAAATGGTCCACCACTTTGTTCCCCTTTGGGAATATAAGCACCCGCCTTTCCAACACAATGTAGTAAAAAATAAAATATCAACCATAACGATCAAAATCAAAATCTAGAAAGAGTGTAGAGATCAGATTTACCATTTGTGTCCTCCAACACTGAAATTTACGGAGTATAGCTTCTCGGTATTCAGCTTCGAAAAGTTCTCAATCTTCCATGTGAACCGTGATTGAGCAACTGTTTTAGCAGTTTTTGCTTGTGCAACTGACAATGAATCCCGAAAAACAATAAAAAATTCAAAAATTTCAAAAAACAATAAAAAAATTCAAAAACCTAATAGAATCATATCTATAATCTACATGACTTGGGGTAAATTAGTTCCACTGAAACTGTACTAAACCTAGAACTTGACAGTTAGGTTAAATAAAAGCATACCTTTATTCCAACCTACAATTTCGGCTACCTTCCGGCCGACATCATTGGGCAATTTTTCTGGTGCAACTGACAATGAATCCCGAAAAACAATAAAAAATCCAAAAATTTTGAAAAACAATAAAAAAATTCAAAACCCTAATAGAATCATATCTATAATCATGACTTGGGGTAAATTAGTTCTGCTGAAACTGAATTAAACCTGGAACTTGACAATTTGATTAAAGAAAAGCATACCTGTATTCCAACCTACTACATTTTCGGCTACTTTCAAGCCGACGTCATTGTGCAATTTGGCTGGTGCAACTGACAATGAATCCCAAAAAACAATAAAAAAATTCAAAACCCTAATACAATCATATCTATAATCATGACTTGGGGTAAATTAGTTCTGCTGAAACTGAACTAAACCTAGAACTTAACAATTAGATTAAAGAAAACTGAACTAAACCTAGAACATGAGAATATATGTGCAACTGACAATGAATCCCGAAAAACAAAAACAAAAACAAAAGCAAAAAATAATTTAAAATTTTCGAAAAACAATAAAAAAATTCAAAACCCTAATAGAATCATATCTATAATCCACATGACTTGGGGTAAATTAGTTCTAACTAAACCTAGAACTTGACAATTAGAGTAAAGAAAAGCATACCTTTCATTTGATTAGGATTCCAACCTACTTCACTTTCGGCTACTTTCCAGCCGACGTCATTGTGATTTTTTTTTTGTGATTCCACTTCCCGTTTTGTTCTTGGTTGCGGAGGCAACTCACGAATTGGGTCTCTTCTTCTCGTTGTTGAATGTTGCTCTAATTCTGAGTTTCTCCAGAAGTTTGCAGTTCCACCTCCCAATTTCACTCTGCAACTACTGCTATTGGTACACATCCTTCGCCACCGCCGCGATTGGTACTCGCGCTCAGTCAGAGACCCCAGAAATATTCCTCTTTCGCGCTCACAGTAAGCACCGAATGGCCTCGAGTTGAACACTAGGACAATTTTGGCGAAAATGATCGGTTTATTATATGAAGGTATTTATGGTATATTTTGAGTTTTTTTTTCCTTACAAAATACTGGTATTATTTATAAGACAAAAGTGTGAAAAAACACAATAAAGCCTGGATTATACAAAAAGTAGCTACACTTGCATTCAATTGTCTGACTGAATAATTTTTAATTAACTATTTATATTAAATACAACTAAGTAAATGGCTCAACTTTCTTATTTATTACATATTTAACCAACAAGTAGTGATACTTATTTATTACATATTTAACCAAATAATTTTTAATGGGTTATTTATACCAAATACAACTAAGTAAATGACTCAACTTCCTTATTTATTACATATTTAACCAACAAGTAGTGATACTTACACTGAACACTTATAGTGAATTGCCTAACCAAATAATTTTTAATTTTATACCAAATACAAATAAGTAGAAGACTTCACTTCCTTATTTGTTGTATAATTAACCAATTAAAAGAGTAGGTTTGTAACTATTGAGTACAATAATCATTTTCCTTATACAAAAAGGTACAAATTTCACGTGATTATATTTTTCGGTGACAAAAGGCCAAAATTATCAAAATAACCGAACTTATTAATTTATATTAAAGTTATAAAATATCATAAACGTACAATACTCAAAACACCCTTAAGAGGCAATCTTGCAACTAACCAATATTTTAGGAGTTTTGTTTACAATTTTGTCAAATAATAATAAACAATATCAATAATAATAATATTATTATTATTAATAAATAATATTAGTGATAATAATAATAATAATAATAATAATAATAATAATAATAGTAATAGCAGCAGCACTAACAGTAATAATAATAGTAGTTAGTAGTAGTATGTAATGTCCCAAATTTTTCTGATTTTTTTTTTATATTATTTATTTTTTGTGGTTCGTTTTGCTTGCTATGTGGGCCCCAAGTGACGTTTAGGTCATTTTTTTGAGTCGAGAGTTTTAGAAATGTATTTTTATTTATTTTAAGCCAATTAGAAGTGATGAGATTAATTTTAGAATTTTTCGAAAGTCGGGACGATTTTCGAGCTAGGGAATTTCTCCCGGTTTTGCCATTTGCTTTGAGGGGCATTGTGGTCTTTTTACACACATATACATACATCTATATCTATACATTGAGGTAGATATTTTGGAGACAAGGATGGCTTTGCATTGGAAGTGCAGGGGCAATATGATAACTAAACCATAAGTTAGTAACCTTTGAAAGCTTGACAAGTAGCACTTAGAGAGTCACATTCTTATTTGCAAGACAAGGGCCAACCCTTGTCTTCTTCTTCATTTTCGGCATTTCCCTTTCTCTCTCTATCTTTTCTCTTTCCTTCTCTATATTTATGTATACATATCTGCCATGTTCAAGCCATGATTTGAGAGGGTTAGGGTAGGATTTTGAAGAAGACCAAGAAGGAAGTTTTGTTCAACTTGGCAAGAGTTTCATTTTGGCACTATGGTTGCTAGGGTTTGGAGAATTTCGAAATTGGGAGCTAGCTACGGGCTTGTTTGGTTGCACTTCATTGAGGTAGAGATTCTTAATGCCTTAAACTTTGTCTTTTTATTGAGTATTCATGCTATGATATTCTATTAACTTCATTCTTGACTGCTAAAGTATGAATTGACATGATAGTAATATGTTAAAGTGGTGAAATCATGCTAGTATGTGAACAAAAATGTGTTTAATTTCATGTTAAGTATGTATATAACATGGCCTTAGTGCAAAGTTGCTTAAATAATGAATACTAGTATGATTTGTGATTATATGAATTCTATAAAGAACGTACTAGTGATTGAGTTAAATGAGAATGCCATGCTTGTGAATGATTTGCAGAAAGTGCCATGTTATGCTCACTTTGTGGAGAATGCCATGCTTATAGGAAGAATGCCATATTTGTGCTTTACTTCTAGAAAATGCTATGTTTATGCCATTATTACATATGAGTGAGATAGAGACCAAATTGATTAAATTGAATTGCATGCATGGCATGGTGGGAAAGTTAAATGAGAAAGGGCATGAAATGGATTTTTATAAAAGTTAGAAATCAAATTTCGCGAGTCCGGTGCTAATTTGACTTAGAGGGAGCGCTGCCGATTTAGGACATGAAAAGTTGATTACTAGGCCCCAAAATGGTTGTCGGATTTGGAACCAAGGATAGTAACTCAATCTTGTCTCAGCAAAGTCGGTTATTGATTTTCGGTGTGAGTTAGGATTGATAGAGACCAAGTGTGATACCCCTGGACTCCGAGCCATGGGTTGATCAGGCCCAAGCCCAAACCCGAATAAATACCAAATAATTAATATGTAAACAAGCAGGAATACAAAATGAAATAAAAGAATAAATAATACGCTGAAGAAAAACTAATAAATAAAAATTTTCATTAATAACTCGCTAATGGTTATAACTAGGGAATCTCGAAACTCAAAGACTCTTTAATCAAAATCCACATAAGCATATATTAATGAAAGAAAAATAATTAAAACAAATACTCAATTAAATAAACAATTTAAACAAATAAGTCGATTAAATAAAATAATTAATCAATTAATTAAAATAAACAGGCAAATAAACAAATAAATAAATAAAAATGCAATAAAATAATTATTAAAATGCCGAGACTCTCCTTTTAAAATTAGGGGTATTACACCAAGTTTGGGAACGGTTATGCATTGCATTACATTCTGTGCAATATTTTGATTGATTGCTTAAGTGCTATTGGTGAGAATGATTTGTGATTTGAATGCTATAAAATTCTCCAAAGTATGATCCTGGTTTCTCTTTACCCCCAATGTGTGTTGTGTGGCTTAAGGGAGTCCAAAGTGGGCGCCTTAGGCATCTTCTTACTGAGCCTCCGTGCTCACCCATTTCTTTAACATTTTTTGGGTCATGGCAAAGATGTGGTTGATGACGTTCTTCCATAAGCATAGTTGAAGTTGACGAGTCATCTTTTGTAAATTTTTTTAAACAATGCTTAGTTGATGACTATTATTTTGTAAAGTGACGATGATTTGTTATTTTTATTTTAAAACGTTATAATTATGACCTTAAGGGTCTCAAACTTGTATCTTTATTCTTTTGGACTACTATGGTATAATTTGGGTATATAAGTACTAAGCTCGTTGACGCCTTGCAAATGATTGAATATGAAAACTTTTATACTACGTTTGATGTGCAGGAATGGAATGGAATGGAATGCCCATTCCAACCATTCATTTATTTGGTGTGCAGGAATGGAATCATTCCATTGGAATGAAAATTCATTCCGTTAGTAAACCTATGGAATGGTCATTCCATTCCATAATAAGATTAATTTTTTTGTAATATTCCCAATAAGCCTTTCATCACATTTCAACAAGGCAAAAATCTTTCGCATAGACAAAAAATCATTAACATTCTATTTTTTACGTTTCTCGAGCTTTTTTATTTTTCACTAATCGTTCTCTTGTTTTTTTATGGCTTCAAAGACTTTTTTTTTTTATATATATATTATTGAGATGGATATATCATTATATATATATATATATATAATTTTTTAGGTTAAGTATTTAACCCCTTTTTGGATAAACTGTACTGACAAATTTATTTGTGTGTCTTCAATCATGGTGGATTGGTTTAGTTGTAAAACTTGAATCTATTCAAGATTTAAAGCCAATTCTAGAACACTATTGTGACCATGGGGCTGGAAAGTGGCTATGGTTTTGTGCTTGCGCCTTTTGAGAATTCAGATATTTTCTCTTTTGCAGTCATTTATTAAGATTAATATCTCATTAAAAATAATATTTTATTTTATTTTAAGGTTTTTCTTTATTTTTTTAGAGAATACCTTCTTGTAAAGACGAACCAATCATATCATATTTTTACTATAATGTCACACAAATCGATCAATTTTTGTAGTTACTTTAATAAAAGAGTTCAACAAGAACTCTTGTCAAATTTAAAAATAACAAAAATATATTTTTTAGGTATTTATTCAAATCACTGATTCTCAAGTCAAGTTTATGTGGTTGGTAAAATAGAGTCGATAATTATATAATTTCCCTATATTTAGTGGTTTCACACCAAAAAAAAAAAAAAAAAAAAAAAAAAAATCTTCAATAGATATATAGAAGAAGTAGCATGAGGAGGAGGGTAAGCAAGAACAGAGGTACAGAACAATACTCCACTTTAAATTCAATAAAATAGAAAGGACACTAACAAGTGAAAAGTGAAATCCTGCATTAATTAAATCTAGATATTTTTCGGATAATAAATTTGTGAAAGTTATGACAGTATCAAGGCGAATCGAGAAATTGTCAATGGAGTGGACTAATATTTCTTTAAATAGACTAATACTAGACTAGGATAAAATTGCCTATAGTAAAAAATAAATTTAGGAATTAAGTTTGAAGAGAGTGATGAAAGTATATTGGGTTTACAGTCTACTCACCTTCAGCTTACTCTTACATTAATTAATGCATACCCAATTTCCTTTCCCTTCTTGTCAGTGCCATGTGAACAATCACAGTAATTATATCCAACCAATTACGTTCCTATGCACTTTACTTTAGAGGTGAATAGACATGTTAAGAAGTTGATGGTAAATTTCCAAGAACTTTATTCATCAAAGCAAGTACTTTTTAGCTGGAAAAAAAAAACACACACGGTGAAAAAGGTGTAGGTAAGTCAAATTTGGCTCCTGAAGAAAGATTTCCAAAGATTTAATGCCCCATTTGAGAATCAAAATTTACATCTTCCAAAAGCATTGTCCAATTTCACACGGGAATCATCTTTTGTGGGGTTCACAAAAGCAGTCAAGTTGAAAGGAAAGAAAATGTGTCAAGTCGGTGGTTGGACATAATATTGGTGTCGAGTTGAAAGGAAAGAAAATGTGTGGACCAGTATTGCGGTGTATGTGGGTCATATCGGTTTAGGTGATGTGTGTGTCTCTAAGCGATTTTGGTGTGTGTGGTTCGAACTTGTATAGAATTTTCAAAACC